CAAATTAAGCTTTCCTTAAGCTTAATTATCATCTAAGGATCAAAACCCAACTTAAATTTCAGCTAATAATCAACAACGAAGAAATTTTACCTTTGCAAGCTTGGCTCCCTTTCTCTCGTATGAAGAAGAAGAAGAATATGAAGTGGAGAAAAAAATATATCCTCAACCTTATCCCCACATGTTTATATATCATTTTATTATCATTTCCAAGTCAAATGACCATTTTGCCCTTTAATTCTTTTAAAAATTACTAACAACCCTTCAGGAAATACTTTCAAATAAATCATTAAACTTTTCAACTTTTCTACTTTAATCACCAAATTCTGAAATTTTACAATTTAGTCACTAACTCGGTATTGAGGATGTTACACGAGAGGATACATTCTCTTATGTCTATGCGGTGAATAAATTCACACGAAGATATAAGATATATGAATCCCGAAGGTTACTTGCTAGGCCTATGCGGAGAATAAATTCTCACGAAGGCATCGCTTTCGCCCCCATTTAAAAGGGTTCGGAGCTCAGGTATAGAGCCAGAGATGGAAACTTTTTCAAAATCTGAAATCATTGAAAAACGTCAGGACAACTATTTACTTCAAAAATAATCAAAGATAAATAATTAGAATCAAATAAATAAATTAAAATTTAAACTTGTAATTTTCGTTAAAAAAGACAACCGAAAATTAATTTCGGCTTGACTCACTTACCTGTCCTCAGTGGTGTCGCCAAGCTGTCGTGGACGTCTTTCGGTTGGGCCCGAATTGGGCCTCGACTTGAATAATTGGGTTAGAGTCGCCATCGATCACTTTAAAAACTTTTAGGTGGATCGTATACCATCTTACCTGATCTGCGTTTTACCAGAAATTTGTCGGTTCGGGAGTCGGTTACGGTCAATAAAGGATTAGCACCCTTGAACCTCCCTTTCGGTACAAATTAATTTATCGGTTGCCTTAATTGCAAAAATTGTAATTTAAATTGAAATTTAGAACATTCAATTCAAATTACTTACCTCTGATGAATTTGAATAGAGACCCTTAAGAAAATAGAAATGTTAGATTTGTAATGAAGTGCAGAATCGAGTTACGACAGGAATTGCATAAATATGAAAACAAAAAATAAAAACAAAAAAAAAGACTAAAATCAAAAATAAAACAAAACCAATAAAATAGTAAAATAAAAACAAAACGAAAATAAAATAAAATAAAAGAATAAAAAAATGATAAAAATAATAAAATAGACAAAAACAAAACTAATATATATAATGAAGAAATAAAAGGGGAAAAAGTTTTAAAAAATGTATATGAATAATGTTGTGTAAAAAACAAATAATAAAAAAAGAAATAATATATATATATATAATAATAATAATAATAATAATAATAATAATAATAATAATAATAATAACAAACAGAAACAAGAAACAAGGTAAATAAGGAAAAGGATAATAAATAAAATATATACATATAAATAAATATTAGGGAAAAACTAAAATTGATAAGATAAAAAAATATATAACAATAAATATAATAATAAGGAAAAAATAATAAAATATATATATCAATAATAATGGGGACAAAAGGAAAAAAATAAAAGAAATATATATATAGTAAAGATGGAAATAATAAGTAAACATATATATAAATGAGAATGTTGAATTAACTAAATATAACAGAAAATAATAATTAACAAGTAAATTAAGTAAAAGGACTGAATTAAAATAAAAATAAACTGAGTGATCAAATTAAAAAGATAAAAGGAGTAAAGATCGAATTTAAGGACAAAAATGAAATCTTTAAAAAGATGGGGGACCAAAATTAGAATTTCCCCTGTTGAATAAAAAACATGCAGGTCAAGAGTATGGGTCGGGTCAACCCGCGGGTTACAATGGATTGCATATAAAACCCAAAAAATTACTGTAAACCCTTCATTTCTCCTCTCTCAAGATTAAAATCTCCCCATATCCTCTCAATCTCCCCCATCTCCGGTCATCCTCTCCGATGGTCACCGCCAACCGTCGGCCGAAAATCACTCTGGCCACACCCACGGTGGTCGGAGACCCATAAGTTACACCCTTTCGAAAGCCCTTTTTCCCCTAACCCCGAATCTGGCCACTGATCACCGAAAAAGGCTCTCCATCACTGTAGATCTACACGAATAGGTCTCGAACGTTACCTTTTCCCCGACGACTGTTGGGTTTCCCGACGATGCTTCGGCTACTTTGGTAGTTGTTCAAATATTCTCTGGTTTTTTCCTTTATTTTTGTATGTGTTGTCTCTTGGTTTCGATTTGGTGTTTGGCTCTTGTGGTTTGGTTTTGCTTCGGTGTTTGGCTACGGGTTTCGATGTTCTGTGTTGATGTCTTTGGTTTTGTTGATGGTGGTTTTGTTTCACTATTTTTCGATTGTTCTTGTATCCCCTTTCTCGATGATGCCCCCTGGTATTTATATAGCCCCGTTAGGGGTTGTTTTTGACTATTTTGGGGTCAATCCCGAATATTCAGAGGTGGCCGATTGTTGCATGTATTTGGGTTTCCGTTTTTCGGAACGTGTTTGTTCTGATTTTTGCTCTGATCTTGTTGTATGTTTGACCGGCGACGCACAATGCTTCTGACTCTTGATATCGCCTCTGACTGTTGAGGTTGCTTTCTGACCGTTGGATTGGGTCAGATCCAACGAGCTGGATTGATATGTGCCCTCTTGCCATGAGTTATGTGCGGCGCCTAACGAACGTTAGAACCCTAATGCATTTGGGCTGGTTCAGGCCCACCCAGTACGGGTCTACTGGATCAGGCTAGCCCGATTGGGTTCACTGATGGACTATTGGACTGCATTTTTGGACCTGGACCCTGGACAGAAAACAAACAAAGAATACTAAATAATAAATAAATAATAATAAATAATAACAATATATTATATATATAAAAATATTTTCAAAAACATATAATATATAAATTTCCAAAATGTTTTAAAAATATATATTATATAGATATATATGTATAAAAAAATATATGGATAAAAATAAGTGTCTATCAGATTAAAAAAAGAATAACACAAAACATGAAGAGAAAGAAAAGTTTGAAATTTTTAAAAGATGGATTCCTCATGTGGCCAATGGCAGCTACTTTTTCAAATACCATGCTCCTCTATTTGCTCTACATAGCAAAGGTATAGAAAAATACAAGAATTGTAAAGGTGAGTAAAGTATGTGAGAAAAGGGTTTTGTGGAGATGAGAACGCATGGGGTTGTACCCATCTTCACAGTTCACCCCTCGTGCGTGCTATCTATCAATGGCGGCTCACTCTCTTCGAGCACCTTCAGTTATCATCATGGGTAAACTACACAGGTGACCACTCAACTATTGTCCCCTTTCATTTTGACCAACGATATTTCAATTTCATCAACCAAACCACCTAATTATTTAAATGCTTCAATCAGACCACTAGCTGTTAACATTTAAAAGATATGGTGACATGACAATTAATAAAATTGACATAATTATATATTTGATCCTCGATATTTAAATATTTTATCAATTTAGCCTTTATTTTAATTCAATTAAATAAATTTAATATTCAATTAGATGGTAACATATTTCATCACATAACTAAAGTGTATTTTATTAGTTATAATTAATTTATTTCTCTCTGAATCAAGTTGTGACACTTACAGTCACTGCCTCCTCATTAAATAGGGAATATAAATTGAAGGATACAACGTCTACACCACTGGGCCAATCTGCAAATTTAGCAATGAATTACAACAGGTATTATATAACCTTCGAATGTTAAAAAGCATGTAAGCATCATATTTTTAATACCGTTTATATAATTCATTTTATATTTTTAAGATTTAAGGTTTAGCACCTTAAACACTTATTTTATATTTTAAATATCCTTGATATCACTAATTTATATAATTCTTCCTCATTATTTATTTATTTAATATTTTTAAAGATACTTAATCGTCTTTTTAACATTGTTTTTGGAATAAAAGAAGCTTAATGTTACAATTTAGTCTTTGTGCTTTTAATTAAATATATGCTACGATATTTTAAAAAAATTAATTCGGTACATGTACCATTCATTAGATTTATTAAATGTTAACAAAAAATGATAAATATATATATATATATATAATGATTGAAAAATTAAGATTATATATAAAATTTTAACAAAAAAATTAAGAATATATTATTATCAAATATATTCTTTGGCTTAGTGGATAAGGTTTACTATTTTTATCTCTTGGTTCCTGGTTCGATTCCCCCTATGATCACATTATCTTTTCTCTTATGCCTTTAGTAATAATAGGTTATATAACAATTGTTGTCAATCATTACCAAATATGCAGCTTTGCCCATTGGTTTTGGCGCAGCTAACTCCCCTAAGGACCGAGGTCACCACCTGATTGGGTAAGAAATATAATTATAACTAATAAAATAAACTTAAATTATATGGTGACACGTAATATCATCTAATAAGATATTAATTTTATTTAATCGAATTAAAATAAAGAATAAATTAATAAAATATTTAAATATTGATGATCAAATATATAATTATGTTAATTTTATTAGCTATCATCATCGTATCCATTAAATATTAACTACTAATGATCTGATTAAAGTATTTAAATAATTAGATGGTTGAAATCAAAACATATGGCTAAAATGAAAGGAGATAATAGTTAAATAATCACCCGTGTAATTTACTCTACATCATTAACGGCATGCTGCCAAAAACAGAACCTGTGAGTTAATAGTGTATAGTGAATAATCATTTCTTCTTCTTTTTCTTCGTCACTTTCTGTTCATGTTGTTGCAGTAGAAGCGCGATTGGGGCTGTCATGTCAGCTAATAAGGAGAGGGTGGAATAGGGAAGAATGTGGGAGACAACCCCAAAACATTTGAAGTAGTACCAGTTGACATAACGTCTTTTTAGGCTCACTGTGGACCAGACCACCCCCATTAATATCTCCTTTATATTTATATATATACCACCATTTCATTTCCCTAGCTCCCCATCCTCCTCTTCATTAATTCCTTTCATCTCTCGTAAAAATTTCGAGCTTGCTTCAATGGCTGATGCAGGTGGTTCAGCCTCCGCTATGAGGATGTGGTGCTCAGTTCCTGAAAGGCTCCAGCTGCATATGGCCATGTTGGCCTTGCAGTTTGGTTATGCAGGTTTCCATGTGGTTTCTCGAGCTGCCCTTAACATGGGCGTCAGCAAACTCGTCTTCCCAGTTTATAGGAACATCATTGCTTTCCTTCTACTCGTTCCGTTTGCATATTTTCTTGAAAAGTAAACCATTTAATACAAGCATTATCTTATTACTGAATCTTATTTTTGTAGGTACTAAAACCCTAACTTATTTTCCACACATTTCTACTTTGTCCAGGAAGGACCGACCAGGCATTACTCTAAATTTTCTTGTACAGTTCTTCCTCCTCGCTCTTGTTGGGTACGCATCATATCCTATACAGTCTACACGCTAACATGGTTAGTATAATAAAGCAAAATTAACTAACTTATCCTATTGCCTTTTTATATGACAGAATAACAGCAAATCAAGGTTTCTATTTGCTTGGCTTAGATAACACATCACCAACCTTTGCATCTGCAATTCAAAACTCTGTTCCAGCCATTACCTTTCTAATGGCTACCATATTTGGGTAATCCCACAAATTCCTCATATTATATACATGAGATGGAATGCAGTGTTTGATGGTTATCTATTTTTTTTCTTCTTCAGAATAGAGAAAGTGAGGCTAAATCGAAGAGATGGGATATCGAAGGTTATAGGAACGGTTTTTTGTGTGGCTGGAGCATCAGTGATAACTCTATACCAAGGTCCAACCATATACAGCCCAACTCCACCGCTAAATAGACCCACACCGTTGTTTGTTTCGTTGGGAGATGCAAAGGGAAAGAACCGGACACTTGGTTGTTTGTATCTGATTGGCCATTGCTTGTCCTGGTCCGGCTGGCTGGTGTTGCAAGCACCGGTGCTGAAGAAGTACCCAGCTAGACTCTCCGTCACCTCCTATACATGTTTCTTTGGCCTTATTCAGTTCCTCATCATTGCGGCAGTCTTCGAGCGCGACGCTCAAGCTTGGATTTTCCGTTCCGGCGGCGAAGTCTTCACTATTCTCTATGCGGTCAGTAGTTCACCAATCCCTAATTTAGTCAAACCATTCACAAAATTTTCTTCCTTGATCGGATGTGTAGTTCACCACACATCTCATGTTCATGAAATATAACCCTTGTGTTCTAAAATATTTTAGTAGTACGTTAGAGAAAAAGTGGGAAAGAAGACCTAAAACTTTAGTGTGGAAAATGCAGGGAGTAGTGGCATCGGGGATTGCATTCGCTGTACAGATATGGTGCATCGACAGAGGTGGCCCTGTCTTCGTTGCTGTTTATCAACCTGTTCAGACTCTTGTTGTCGCTATTATGGCTTCCATTGCTTTAGGGGAAGAGTTCTATTTGGGAGGGTAAGTGGGTCCTTTTCTTCTCAACATTAATTATCTCTGCAACCCCTTTGTTTAAGAAACTCATCAATTATCAGCAACCCCAACCGTAGGATCAAAATATATATCCGTCATACATTTAACAATGCTTCCTTTTGGTAATCCACAGTATCATCGGGGCAGTGTTGATCATAACGGGATTGTACCTAGTTTTGTATGGTAAAAGCGAAGAAAGAAAATTCGCAGCTCAAGAAAAGGCTGCAATCCAGTCAACTCAGGGGCATGGCAACAGCAGAGCACCCAGCCATATCAAGACGACATCCCTCACTCAGCCACTTTTGCCTCCTTCAACGGAAAACGTTTGACTTCAAAAAAATACCCTAAACCAAAAACTGTGTGTGTATGATTGTTTTTTCTTTCACTTTTCCTCTTTTTTATATTAGTCATCAATGGATTTCTGTGAGTAGCAGAAAGAGGTTGAAAAAGAAGCGTTTTTGAAAGGCCACGACAAAGACGATGATGATCACTGTCACAGCTATGTAAGGTCTATGCGGGCCTGAAATCCCATATGCATTCTACTTTATATGTTAAATTTTATGGTTTTTTTTAAGATAAAACGATAATGCAAATTATCAAGTTAGTGCTCAAAACATGATGATCGTGTGCGGTGAAATGGACCCACGTGCCATCTTATTTTAATCAAACAAATTCCATAAAATTAGACCAACGATATCAACAGCCTTCTCCTTTTTGCTTGGCCCTTCACTGTGAAATTTATGACAAGTTGGTGTGCGAAATATGAAAAATTAGATACCGACCGGATATCACCAAACCCTACGTTTTGATGATAACTAAGGGTTGTTTGAATAAATCAGAATTATTAAACGTTGAATGATTCAATGATCTGAATGATTCAAATGCTCTGTATGAATTAGCTCTGAATGTAACATGATGTTTGATAATGGTTCTGAATCATTTATAATATACTTTAATGTTGAATCATTCAGCAGCGTTTTGTTGAATCATACAACAGTGTTTTGTTGAATCATTCAGCATGGTCTTCATTCAGAGTGAGAATCAAACACGCTGAATATTAAACGGTTCAGCATTCAGCACTGAATGGTTCTATTCAACCGTAAACAAACAGCCCCTAAATTTATATATTGTGTTGGAAGTAAGCGAAAGAAATGACAAACATATATATAATTATATTCAAGATATAGACAATGATTGACCATAAAGCTTTTAAAAACGACCATAGGTAAAGCAAAATAGCTTGATTCTAAACAGGCAATACTTTCGACTTTATTGTTATTTTCGGAGAACAACCTCCGAAAATTACCAATTCTCTTATATAAGAGATCTTCTAGTACTTCATCGATGGTCTTTATATAGATCTTTTCGTTTGATGAAATCCCTATAAACTCGTGTTTTTCAAACACATATTCTTAAGTTAACTACAATCATAAACGAGACCCAAACAATATCCCTGACATGTTCACGTGACTTACAGGACGAAATCCAAAGTTCAACCATCATATCTTTCTATTACAGTCTATCTATAAATAGTCATCATGATCATACGACTGATACATACACTAACCACTATTAATACTTCAATCAATATCGAAAAAAAGATAGACCGTCTATAACTAATTGACCCTCTTTCTTCTCCTTCATTATAATTTTCTTCATCCTTCAAATACTGACCATTGATCGTTCTCTCACTTATTACGATTCTCCACCTAAATCATAAGGGATGGACTGCTCAAGATCGACGAGCCTATCATATTCCCAACAACATACCTCAATTGACTGTTTTTATGATTTTATTTGTGTTTTTAGCCAACTGTGAATTATTCCTTTCAAATATAAAATAGCTTATGAGCTTTAATAAATTAAACTCAAATTTGGGTTTAGGTATATTAATATATCACAATATTTTCACAAATAAATATTGAATATAATGTAATACATATTAGAGAATCTATGTTTAAGTTTTAGAAATAAAAAAGGATAACCACGAATTTTAAATATGAATTATAAAATAATATATATATATATATATATATCACATATTTTCATCAATTTTAGTTATAAAAAAATACAAAAGTTAATCTCGTCAAGTAAATATTTATTCACAAATTAAATGAATTAGAAATATAATATATTAAAATCTATTATTAGAAAATAAAAAATTTACCGTAATATCTCTATGTTTCAAAGGGAGAGAAATTATTTATAAAATTTAAAAAATGCGATAATTTTATATCATCAAAAGTAAAAAGAAAAGATTATAAAATTTTAAGATATTTTATTAAACATGTGTATGGAAAAGAAAGATAATGAGCGGATATATTTTCATCCACTGTTAAATTATGTAGTGTAAATTAAGGTGGGTGAAGGGATCCCAAGACTAATGCTTCAATAGAGAGATGACATCCCTACAGAATTTCTATTAATCGCAATTATTAGCAACCCTTTAACAAAAGCAATCTCCTTTTCCTTTGTTAATGATGTGAATGGAATAAACATCATTTTGACCCTCTTAAAAGTTTAACCACGGATTGATTATTTTGGATCTGAGTTTAGCAAAAATTTACACGATCTTTTTAACCTAATTTTGTTTTATTCGTAAACGTAAGATTCAAATTTTTAATCTTACTTAAGAAATCTACTATTTTATCCCACTAGATCATCTGATTATTGATAAATTAATTAGTTTCTATTGCTCCTTACAAAGTTTTTGCCTCAATGCATTGTCCTAATTAACTGCGAACGTTTTATAATTTTTTGTCATGATTTTACAAAATTAAATTTTTTTAATTCATTTTTTCACTAATAACGGGGACGCAACTGTAACCCCCTCAGACCGATGAGAGTAACTAGATCCGATTCGGGGTGTCACATTTGGGCCACCAGAGCGACCCACTATAAAAATAGCGAAAAATTTAAAACTTTTTATCAAAACATGTAAACTCATAAAACCATTTATCAATATTAAGAAATGAAACAGATTTTCAGACTTGTATTTAAAACAAAATACAATTACATGTCCCCCTAATCACATGTACCATACTCTGCAAGCAACGCCGGAAGAACTCCCTTACCGATTTTGATAACTGTACTGGTACAATCTTTTAACCTGAAATGGTGAGTAATAGAGTGAGCTTCGAAAAGCTCAATAATACAGAACTACCAGATGATGCTGAAGAATGTGCAGATACAGATAAACATATATTTCCTTATTGGTTCAGATATCTACAGATTTCTTTGGCTGAGCTGAGGTCCCATTGATATTTCAGGTATTAACAGATAATATTCAGTTCTGATGGAAAATATTTGGGATCTTTAGGTTCAAGAGATCAGAATAGGTTTTCTAGTGTGTTCCCAAAAATCATGTAACTTTTCAGATCTTTTTAAAACATATATATATATATATATACCCACATCCGTCAAGTCTAAAATGTGTAGGTTCCCCAGAACCATACACCCACCGTCAAGTCCAGTAAGGCCCTGAGTACACAGCCGAGGAGCCGGTAAGTAAGGCCCTAAGCACACAGCCGAGGAGCCTCCAGGTATACTTCCTCCAACATTACCCCCCAAATAAAACATGTTCCGTCCGTAAACGGATATATCAAAAATCAAAACATAATTCAGGTCAAGTATCAGATCAAAATCCAGGTCAAGTATTCGATCAGAATCCAGGTCAAGTATCCGATCAGAATCCAAGTCAGGTATTATAATAGAAATCAAATCGAAAATCAGGTAAAATATCCAGGTGATTAGGGAGCATTCTCAAATCTTGAAATCATTCCTTAACAGGCTTCTAGCATCGTGCATAAACCCTCTTGGGGTTGAAAACTAATTATCCAAATTTCCTAAGCAAACTAGCATTTCTTATACACATATGTAGTTTTATCATATCAATATATCCTTTCAAAGTTATAAATTAACTTCCAGGGACAATTCTTGACATATTACAACTTAAGGGTATTTTCGTAATTTGACCCTACCGGAGTATTCTCATAATTCCCTATCCAAGTACCTTTAACATTTGACCTTTGATGAAATAAATTATAAGATACAGATCCAGTTTGATTTCTTTATTACCAAACATATAACTTGAAATTTAATTCTAACAATCCCTCAATTTCTTATAAAAGTTCTTTGAACCATAATCAGTTACCAAATTTCTACTATATTCGGATCGAGTGTAGAAATTCATTAACTACCCAAATGAGACCAATGTTATCTTATTCATGCATTTACCAATATTCACATATTCAATAAAGCATAAAGAGCTAGTAAAGTATTACCTCGATTTTCGTACAATACTGATCGACCATTAAATTCTATTAGAATGCCCTTGATCTTGAAATTATCTTTCAATATTTCCTTGGATCCATACCAACAGAAATTACATAAAAAATAGAGCTTAATTTTGAAAAACGGATCGAATCGAATGATAAATCAGTGAAAAACAACTTACCTCAAATTTGGCGAAACGGACTTCAGATTCGGATTCAAGACGTCGAAAGCATAAAATATGACTTTTCAAAAATTTGGAATTTTCGGTCAAAGTCAAAGTCAACGGGTTTGACTGGAAATTTTGAGGCCTTCAGGTCCGAATTTTGAAAAACGGACTGTGGAATCGGATTTGGAACGTCGAAAAACGTCAGGATAGGTATACTCGGTCAAATTCAAAGGTCGTTTAATGCTCGGTTAAAGCCGGTCAAAGTTCCGGTCAACGCCGGTCAACGGTCAACATTCGACCATTTTACACAAATATCACCCTAACAGAAATTAATTACAAAAGCAGCCACATTCTGCAAATATTTATGAAACTAACACCCAGATTTTACATAAATAGCACCCGAACAGAAATTAATTACAACCAAACGATGCGCACTCTCGGGGGTGGGGCGCGTGAACAGTGCTACGGTGTCGAAAAATTCTCGAAAAAATTCTTAAAAATTATTTTAAGGCATTTTGAGACACTTACAAAGCTCGGTTCACAATTTTGAACAACGAAGAGCTCGATTCCGAAACATCAGAAACTTTAACGGTCTTACCCCTCCACGCGCCGGCGACGACGGAAAACCCCGGTGGACTCGAAACGATGCAAGAAACACGATAGTATAGGAGGTGTCGTTAACGGATGATCGGATCGTCGTGAATCGACGAAAAACCAACTGAAATCGAGTTATTACCGACGATACTTCCGACTGAAATTAACGACGAACGGTGATGATTCACGATGAAATGTTTGAGGGGTTTTGTTCCTCGGTCGACAATGAACATGATGGTGGTTTCGGTTCGTCGATCGGAGGTCGGACGACGAGTAGATCGAAGATCGAAGTATGGTGAACGGGGGACAGAAACTGGAAAATGTCTCTAGAAACTGACGGGGGAAGAGTTTATAATTCTCTCCTATATAAAATTGGCTAAATTAATAGTTTAGCCACTGAGTTTCCTGCACTTTATAAAACGGTATGCCAACTTTGAAATTTTACAATTTAATCCTCAATTTTCCTCCCAAA